CAGTTAGTTGTTCTGAACTAGCTATATCCCAAATATTATTAAACCATATCTCAAGAGGTAGCTCCACCTGGGAATTCCACTGATACACTATCACTAGATGTGCAGCTACCAATAGAAAAAAAATTAAATCCTTATGCTGGATTGGAATCTCGGTTTAGTGAAAGCAAGGTTTGCCGAAAGAAGTTGTTTAACAATTTTGGAGATAATATCAAAGATCCCGGTCCAATTTTGCATTCCCACCAAGCATAAAAATATGTCCCAAGGTTCCTGCAGCCCCTCCAACAAAGGGGGGGGGGTTAGAGATTTATTGTTTTTGCCTAGACGAAGCAATACTGAACGTAGACCCTTTGCATTCTCCATATAGTGTTCCATGATCCTACACTTTGTCAAAGGAAAACTCCCCACCGGAGTAGAAATCATGTATCAAACAGATGGAAAGCTCTTCAATCTGAGCAGGCTGAAAGCAAAGAGTAAGGTTACCGTAACTTCCATCATAGAGCTTCAGTATGCTGACGACAACGTAGTGTGCACACACTCAGAGGATGACCTCCAAACCATCCTAAATATCTTTGCAGAAGCTTACAAAAAGCTTGGCCTATCACTTAACAAGCAAAAAACCAAAGCGCTGCACCAACAAGTACAAAATAACCCCTCTGCAGCACCACAAATCCAACTCAATGGTGCAACATTGGAAAATGTCAATCACTTCTACCTAGGCAGAAATCCAGCATCGCCTGAGCTCTGCGAGTGCGGCTTTCTCCCGCACAGAGTGTTTGAGGAGTGGGAGATTTGCAGGGAAACCAAACTGCTTGTTTACCAACCTTACTATATGCTTGTGAAACATGGACCACTTATAAACGCCATCTCCAACTCCTCGGAAGTTTCCATCAACGGTGTCTCCGAAAAATTTTACACATCACTTGGGAAGACAGGAAAACTAATATCAGTGTACTGGAAGAAGCAAAGATCACCAGTGTTGAAGCAATGATTCTTCAAAATCAACTTTGTTGTACTGGTCATGTCGTGTGGATGCCTGATGCTCGTCTTCCAAAGCAACTACTCTATTCCGAACTTAAATATGGAAAGCATAATGCTGGTGGTCAAACAAAAGAGGTTTAAAGACTGTCTCAAGGCAAATCTAAAAAAAATGTAGTATAAACACTGACAACTGGGAAACACTGGCCTGCGAGCGCTCCAGTTGGATAACAGCCTTTACCAAAGGTGTCATGGGCTTTGAAGACACTTGAACTCAGGATACAAGAGAGAAACGTGCTAGGAGGAAGGCACACTTGGAAAATCCACACTGTGATCAACTCTCACCAAGAAACCAATGTTCCCACTGTGGAAGGACATGTGAATCCAGAATTGGCCTCCACAGTCACTTATGGAGTCATTGTTAAAACCGTGTTTATGGAAGACAATCTTACTCGGCTATGAGTGATTGCCGAAGAAGAAGATAGATAGATAGATAGATAGATAGATAGATAGATAGATAGATAGAAATTTCTATCAAATTTGATAGAAATTTGATAAAATCAATTTTGATAACATCACTGACTCTTGCTGTGGTCATAATGAATCATAAAATCATAGAATTCAAGAGTTGGGAGGGACCCTGAGGATCATCTAGTCCAACCCCCTGAAATGCAGGAATAGGCAGGTCTCCCATATGGAGCTCGAACCTGCAGCCTCGGTATTATCAGCAGCATGCTCTATCCAACTGAGCTGTGAGTCACAGAACAGGTTGCATCTTTCACACCAATGAGTTGAAGGTGACAGAGGAGTTCGCGGTGATGGATTTGCAACCCCCGGCTTGGAAATAAACTGAACTACTTCCCCCAATTTGGGAAGCAGCTCAGGGTTTTTCTGAGCCTGCCTAAAGTTGCCATCTTTACATTTGCCCATCCATTTCAGCTGCTCTCATTTGTCCTCAATGCCATGTTCTTTCAGCAGGGAAAGTGCAGCAGCGGGAGCACTAAATGGGTTGCATCTCTGTGCCTGCAGTGTCCCAGCTGCCCCACTTCCTTCCTGATGGTCATCGCAGAGTCAGTGCTGGTGGCAGGGGCAGGGTCATCAAAGCTGATGACACATGCACAGAAATGTTTCAGGGAAAAGAAAATTAAACTTTGTGTTAAACAGTACTTATGCCAAAAGATTCTGCAGACTTTACCCCCAAAATAGAAAACTCTCCTTTGTTTTGAATGCATGCTTCAAGCAAGACTTGCTCTCTGGAGCCATAACTAAAACAATCTCTGTCAATCCTAGTCCCTTTTTCAGGAAGGTAGAAGGGCAAGAAGGTTATATGTCTGGGAACAGAAGTGCAAACAGAAGGAATCTTTCTCTTATCCTGTGAAGTAAACGTCACATTCTTGACAAAATAAATGATAAATCATTAGCGAATCAGCTTCCATGCATTATGAAACACCAGCAAGGTTGGTCTTTAAAAAGTCAGTCCTTGACATATGACTTGGGCATCATTAGCCTTGTTTTCAAGGGGTGAGGAGAGACAGGCCTGTGGTTATAATGTCAGTCCTAGGGCTCAAGATAGACTGTAATTCATTTTGCCTTATACCAGCAGTTTATCCCAGTATAAACACTGTGAAAGTTGCAAGTAGACAGTCAGCTCTAGGGGCTGGGGAGGAGGCAGCACGAGAGTGGACTGGAGGTTGTGGCATCCCAAAATAATGGGATTAGACTTCTGAAGGAAATGTAGTGAAAACATTTACAGGAGGTCTAAGTCTGCAAAGGTGGGGAGACAGATAGACTGGGAATTCGGCTGAGAAGTGCAGTATTTGGTGGTGTTGATGGCCTATCTACACAGCCAGATGAAGCCAAAATCTTACTGGTGTCCAGGCACAGACAAACCTGAAAGTAAATATAACAAGGACTGTTGCTCAGTAAAGCAAACCAATCACGCAGCATGATATGGTGACAAACACATTTTTGATAAAAGTGTCCCTTACAAAGACGTTCAGAACTCCTACTAAAGTTGGGACAAGCCATCTGTGGCCCCTGTCCTCTTCCTGCTGCAATTCCTCACCTCCTTCCTAAGTTTCCATGTGGGACACTTAGTGCTCTCTGCTCCAGGGGTCAGCAAATTTTTCAGCAGGGGGCCGGTCCACTGTCCCTCAGACCTTATGGTGGGCCAGACTATATTTTGAAAGAAGGAGGAGGAGGAGGAGGAGGAGGAAGAGGAAGAGGAGGAATTCCTATGCCCCACAAATAACCAGAGATGCGTTTTAAATAAAAGGACACATTCTACTCATGCAAAAACATGCTGATTCCCGGACCATCCGTAGGCCGGATTTAGAAGGCGATTGGGCCGGATCCGGCCACCGGGCCTTAGTTTGCCTAGCCATGCTCTGCTCATCATAGCATTTAAGAAAGAGGAGCAGGCGTGCAGAATTCCTTCATTTGTATCTCACCATCAGACTGTCAACAAAGGGGATTGCAGATCCATATAAAGCAACAGAGGTTAACATCCATAGAAATCAGATCCTAGAAAAACCTTATGAAGCATAGACCAAGGGTGGGGAATGGGACCACCCCCACCCCCGCCAGTCTCCTGACATCAGGTGATTTGACACCTACTGTCACCTCCTTTGAGGATGCACTTTCCATGCTAGCCAGGTGAACACACTGGGAACACATCTTCAAAGAGGCTTAGCAGCTCATCGGTAGCTACAGGGAGCCCCTTTGAAGTCTCTGCAGAGGGGGAAAGGCCCCTAACACCTGAGCATTTTGCAGAAAGCGGTTTGTATTAAAAGTGCTTCTTCCAGGGCTTTGAATACAAACTGCTTCCTTTAGAAAGAAAAAAGAAATACTGGAAACTCAACCCAGTTGAGAGATCCATTGTAAGCTAAGCAGAGTCCTCTGCCAGGTTTTAGGAAACAGAGGGACAATCTGAAAGGGTAGCCAAGGCACCTTCTAAGTTACTCTGGCCCTGGACATCTTGCTGAGGATGACTGGCACCTGCACGAGGGAAAGGGAGTCTCTTTCCTCCACGCCAAGGGTTGCGTTCTCTCAGGAGAAGTGGTCAGGAGCTGCAGAATAGTGGGCAGGAAGGCAGCTTCAAAAGACCCAGCATCTCTGAAATCAAGATGGGAGGGTGTCACCCATTACTGGTTTTTGTGTGGTTGTTGTGACTGCTGTCTGGACTGATACTTTTTTATTCACTCTAAAATCCCCCATTCACTGCTTGAATTTTGCTACTGTTATCTATAGAATACGCCAGTTAAAAGGCCTCATCCTGTGTCAGGGCCTGCCATAACATGAGGCAACCTGAAGTGGCTGCATCAAGTGGCGGAGAACAACAGCAGGATGCTGTGAGGACGGAGCCTGCCTTCCCTCAGGTGCAGTGGAAGACAGTGTCCCCTCTTCAGTCTGGAAATGAGAGGGGGTGTCATCTTGACCTCTGCCTCAGGCAGCAAAACACCTTGTGCCAGCCCAGACCTGCAGCCCTGCAAAAGCTGAAGAGAGGGAGAAATACCGGATTTTTCGCTCTATAACACGCACCCGACCATAACACGCACGTAGTTTTTAGAGGAGGAAAATCTGTAGGCATGCCACCCGTAGGCATTCCCTCCATAACACGCACAGACATTTCCCCTTACTTTTTAGGAGGAAAAAAGTGAATGTTATGGTGCAAAAAATACGGTACTTTCCCTTTGAAAAGAAACCTAGTTTGAACGGGATGTTAGAACCATTGCTTCTTTTGTCAAAACCTGTCGTTTCATTTCTCCTTTTCTCACATTATGGAAAGTGGGGCTTATTTTCCTATTTCCAAGTGGAAACAAAGATTCTACTTACTGTATTTAGTTTTGTGGCTTCGTGCTGCACCCTTCAAGCTAAATGCAAAAGGGCTGCCTATAATGAGCTCCTCACTTGCCGTTACCTGAAGACCATAATTGCTACTTCCTTAGAACAGGAATGAAAGCTTTTCATTGACCATGGCTCGGTTGCTGTGGCAACGGGCTTTGCTGTTTACCACCTCACAATGTGACATAGAGAAAGAGGGTAAGAAAAAGCCCTCCCTTGCTTCAAGAAGCGATAGCAGGTATGTGCATTTTCTGCTCTCCAATTTGCAGATGGTTTCTAAAAGAGGATCAAAATGTGCTCCCTTTCGTAATGGCCCTCTTAAGGAAGAAGACACACTTGTCAGACGAACAAAGCCTGATTTTTCTCAATGCCACCTCCAGTCATTCTGCTCAAGTAGTTGTTGTCGACCACTCAACCTTTTATTTTTTATTAACCTAGAAATGCAATAGAAAGCGTGATGCCAGGTCAGGCCAAATACAAAAGGTTTATTAACAAATAGGGATCACAGTGTTGTTCCTGAGTGTAACTAAATACTACAGTGACCAGGGCCGGATTTAGGTTTGATGAGGCCCGAAGCTACTAAAGGTAATGGGGCCCTTTATATGTCCAGCTGTCCTTTGTCAACAACAAATTGCCGCTGTTTTTTATGTTGAATATATGCTATATGGAAATGAGCAAACCAGTAATATTTGAGGGAGGAGGCTAGCAGGCGGGGCCCATGACTTGCATCATAGGAGCCTACACAACACAAAACACTGTTGCTGATATGTAGGTTTTATTTTATTTGTTTTTTATCTTATATTTTGGAAATGTACATCCAGGTTTTTTCCCTTTAATTTTTTTGGGGGGCCCCCAAGAGAGTGGAGCCCTAAACTATAGCTTGTTTAGCTTATACGTAAATCTGGCACTGACAGTGACTGACATATGCACTGGATATATAACTCAAGGTGCTTTGATCAAAATTATGAGAGTCTCCGGTTGAAAACAGCAGAAACTGATGTATAATGTACCCACGTTTCAAGGGGGTGGCAGTGGAAATACAATGCCCAATGCCAACTACTCGGATTGCACACTGCCACACAAAAGCAGGGCTGTCAGAGGGGAGAGACTGCCAGCTGTCGTGCTTTCACTGGCCCAGGTGGCAATGGCTAGCGGCCATGCTGAGGGGGGGCCCAGGCCAGGGTTGGCAGAGGCCTGTAGGTGGCGCTGTGCCAAAGGCCAACTCAAACCTGGCAATGGGAAAAGCTGCCCCTCTGCCCTGGGCAAGTGCCCACCTCTCTCCCCGTTCCTGTTTCTTGTATGTCATGTTTCACTGGATTGCAAGCTTTCAAGCAAGCAGTGCTTTTAATGGGCTTTTGATTTTGGTACAGTGTCTAGCATAAAATATTTAACCTGCGACACCATCATCATCATGAGCAAAATGCAACAAACACCATGTTAGCACAGCAAAGGAGCACATGCCAGCATGTTTCAGTTAATTGCCGCCAAATGCTTGGGCAAATATCTGGGACTGAATGATAACTAAGTTAATGCCAGATGAACAGTTTGGGCGAAGGAGTCCCAAGAACTCTTCCCGGGAGCCAGCTGTCTTGTCTCAAAAGGCACATTTTATTTTTGAGAGTATGAGTTGTAGGCGTGATGGGAAGTTCCCCCTACAAAATTTAAAAAACTGCATTTTCTATACTTTATAATAGACATCACTACAAAAAAATCACCATGCATTGAAAGAAACTGGAGAGTCAGATTTTTCTTTTCTTTTCAGAGCTTAACATTGCTAAGTTGAGCCTTAAATATTTCAGTGTGGCATTTTGAACTGACAAGCATGGAAATGTGAAACCTGGATGGCAAGTAGCTCCTGATTACCCCCTGCTATGTCCTATGTTCAAAAAAGAAGCAGAAAAAAGAAATGAAAACAAGATGCTCCTCTAGAAGGTAATAGAATTACATAATCTTTGCTTTAAAAATGCATGCAAGATATCTCAGCCTGTCACAGGTAGAAGGTGTTTATGGCACATCTGGACAGATGCAAAAGAGTTTGCAGGCAGCAGAGGTTAGGCCTCGGCTCCTACCAGCTTTGCTCTGCTGCCTGCTTCCCAACACAACCACCAGAGAAAAAGTCCAGCAAGGGGATATCAAAAATTATTTTAACAGAAAGCCCAACTGTTTTTTGGGCTAAGCTAACCTTCTTTTGGGTATGTTAAGGGCAGTTTAAAATCACAGGCCTGGTATTTTGAACCATAACTCCCATTACCCCTAACTAGCATAGCCAGTAGTCAGGAATGATGGGAGTTGTAGTCCAAAACATTTGACCAGCACCAGGCTGGGGGAGGCATAGGCGCTGGGTACCGCCCAATTTCGGGGGGTGGGGGTGGCGCACATGTCATGTGGTGGGAGGAGGTCGCAGCTGTGAGTAGACCCAGTGGGGCTGCAGGTACACCCAAGAGTCCCAGGTACCATAGAAGTCCTAGAAGGGTAGTGGGTGGTGTGATAGGGGAGATCCCCAGGAAAGACTGAAGTGGGGAAAAGCCACCCCTCCAACCCCAAATCCTGATGATGAGAGTTGGCCTATGCCCCACCCCCACAGACCTCTGCGCATACAGTGATGATCTCTCCATTAACTTGCAAAGATGAAGGCATAGATCCATGTGAAAAATTTACACAGTTTTTGATCTTTCTCCCCAAATCACTGTGATTGGAGTGGAGGGGAAATCATTCACTGTGACTGAAATCTAGATCTCAGCTTCTGGGTTCTTCCCCAACCAAACTGGCCTCTCTCCACGGTTGGGGGATGCGTTTTTTCACAGGCAAAGGCACAGAGGCACTCAGAAACTGAAAAAGTCCCTGATCAGCCTTGAGACAACTTTTGAATGACACAATCTGACCTGGAAACATGAGAACCTTCCCTGATTCATCCCAATTTGCCTTGTGATTTGGAGTGCCCACAAAATCAGTACCAACCCCTAATATATGTATAAAACCAGGACAGAACAGAAAACAACATGCCACAGCCTATTAACATGCCGGTTATGGAAAATATTCATGACTCAATAGTGCATACAATTGGATTGACTCTAAAGCTACAGAGAGAAAAGCATTTTGAAATTTACATTTGGATTATCTGCACTTAGACAAATTCTCTTTGCAGCAATATTTCTGTCAGAAACAAATGGGGGAGAAGCTGATGCTATTGTCATATTGCCATGAAATCTAAGTAGAGCTTTTGCTAAGTCAAACCTAATGCACATTACTTTCTATGTCACACACACACACAGAGAGAGAGAGAGAGAGAGAGAGTGCTGAATGGGAAAGATGACTTGCAAATTTATTTCCAACAAAATAGACCTGGAATGTGTCCCAGAGCTCAGCACATGCAAGATGACTAATGATGTAGCACTCCTAACAGATACTATTAGTTTTGAAAGCCACCTACAGCGCTGGTAGTTTCAAACAGCTTGTGATATACATAACAAGACACGCAGACGTGAATTAGATTCACTAAGGCATTCCCTATAAACAGAAACACAGGATGAACCTTTACATATAATTTATCCATTACTTCTGTTACGGAAATTATGGGGGGCGGGGCACATCTTTAAAGTTAAATGTTACAAATATTATGCCTGAATGTATCCTTTCAACTTGACAGCTCAGGGAAGTTACCTAGCTTTAAAAATAATATAAAATCAACCCCTTTCCCAGTTTCCTCCATTCCAAAGCTATTTCCCCCTTGAAAAAGGACTCCAGGAAGTTCCCAGAGGTGACAATTGCTGGTGTCATTGTTAGCCAAAGGAAGCCAAATCTCATCACCTGAGTCGCCTCAGGATCCAGACATGCAAAGGAACTTCTATTGTACTTTTGGGTGGTGGGTACTTAAGACATATTTGTCTATGCTAATCTTATACCTGAGTCTTGCCCTGCCATATCTGCCTATGCTAATCTCGTACCAAGGACTTGTCTGGACATGTTTGCCAAGGTTAACCCCTCCCCTTTTGTGACATGTCAGTGATGTAGCAATGATGTAGCAATGATGCTGTACGAATTGTATTCTGGGATACGGTGGGAAAGTTTTAAAAGTCTGGTGACTGAGCTGCCTCACACCTAGATTTTTCCGTAACACTTACCTCACAGGACTCTCAGATTAGATAGCATGAATTTATGGTATTCATTGATGGGTTGGGATGCACAAGATGGGTTGAGGTCTCAATAGCAGTCACATGCTGCCAGAATAACATAGGAACTGGGCAAGTATCTCCACATAAGGAATTCCTCTAAGCGTTCACCAGCCTGGAGTGGACATCTTATTCCTGAAGGAGAAGGTTGTCCTATACATTTCTATGAGCTTTGTATGATCTAACAGACGGCAGGGCTGCATTGAATATTCAATACTCACTTTGGAAATAGGACATTTAGCACACAGAAAAATCGCCAAAAATTAGCAACAGGAATTCGTAGTCCGCCAAATATTTGCAGTTCCAATGCTACTTGACATTAATTTTTTTCCCCTGGCTGTGACTGCAGTGCGGTGAGGGCAGAGGCACAGAACTGCCCTCCCCCTGCCCCTGGCATCATTGCAGTTTGCCGAGACAGGACTGGAGCAGGGGGTCAGCAGGGGCAGGGCTAGGTGGGTGCTTTGGTTCCTCATCCTCCTGGGAAGAAAGGGCCACACGGAGTGCTACAGGGCTCTGTCCTGGAACCATTGTTGTTCAATGTCTTTATAAACGACTTGGATGAAGGAATTGAGGGGATGTCCCCACTAAATGCTAGAAATTGGGAAATGATCAGATTTTGATTCTTTGGAGTATTGAAGTGAAGACTGGAGACCAGGCTAAGCTTTCTTTCCAAGCCAGGGCTTCACCTTGGATAGAGGCATGAACATAACAAAAAGGTGTTGATGGCCCATCTAAGAGGAATCTTGGGTCTGGGCAGACAGAGGTTTCCAGGGTAACTGGGAGTGAGGGGACAGGAAAAGAGCATCTTTAGCAAGGTGTGCTGGGAAGAAGAAGCAGAAGAACAAAGAATGAGATCCTTCTTGGGCACGCTTGGATTCCAGGGCTGCACTGCTGTGGGGAACAAGCCCCTCTTGAGATGACCATGCTGTAAGATCAGGACTCCCTCCATGCAGACTGAAGGTGAAAATTGGTGAATAAATCATATTTTGTAAAGCTACAACAGGGTGATGGCCTGGGACTCAGGCTCGGACTCGGAGCCAGAGGAGTCTCAGTCCACACCGGATCCTTTGCCTCAGGTGGCAGCTAAACCTAGTCTGGGGCCTGATTCTGAAGAGCCCCAGTCTGCACAGGTTCCTCTGCAACAACTCCAGCTGGGCTGAGTCAGGGGCCTGAGCCTGTACTGGCTCCAGATGCGGGGATGACCTTGTTGTCTCCAGCTGGGCAATCACTTACAGCTGCTCCACTACCAGTTGGGTCAGGAGAGGCTGAGGCGGCCTCTGGGTCTAGTAACCCACCGACATCTCCCAAGCTGCAGAGGCTGAGGTCTGAGAGAAGGAGAGACCTGAGTACCCGCAGGAGGAGTGCTCGCCTTCGGGCAAGACAGGGAGGTGAGTCACTGGGGGATCAGGACCGGCCGTTACCCCGACAGAGAGAAAAGGCTGCTGGACCCTGCCTCTGGTTGCGGGAGCAACATTGCTGTTTGCCAGAAGCTGCCTGGGATCCTGTGCCTGACCTTGCCTGGTTTTCTGCCTCGTGTCCTGCCTTGGCCCTGTCGGACTGACTCCTAGTGGAACCCTTAGATTCAGGACCGGACCTGGACCGCGTTACTTGGGTTACCCCCAGGCCCAGCACAGACAGTCTCCACTGTGTCTTCAATTCTCCAAAGGAGCAAAAACCCTAGATGAGTGCCTGGGACCTCCTGTAATCTTGCTCCCACTCAACAGAGTGTGGGGGCAGTGCCCAACTTTTGTAACAATATACAAAATACAAATTCTAAAAATCTGGTCTTTGGTGGTGGTGTGGTGTGGGGGAAGTAAAATAATAATAATTAAAAAATGCACATTTGCATTTGCAGATAAAAGTTCCAAACTTGCAATGTCACTTTTCAGGAAAGTGAAACTAGCAAATATTTCACCCTAGCTGTTTAAGAAGCTCTGTCCTTTATTATTGTTAATGCACCAGCAAAGGTAGCCAGCAGTGAAAAGAGGCATCTTTTGAAGGTTGTGCTGACTACATTAGAAGCAAGCATTAATTCTTTGCACTGCTGCATATTACAATAAAGCCAATTGGTTTCAGGTTGTGTTAGAAATGATGCAATATAAATGCAAGTTGTACAAAAGAGATTCAGCTTTATGCCTCATAAAGCAGACAGAATGGAAAATCAATATATCTTTATGCAAGTGATAGAGTTTAGAATTAATCACTGTACTTGGGTAAAGTAGCAGACCATTTTCCTAAGCAGAAAGAAGTCAGAGTAAGAAGGGCAAAGTAATTAACACTGAACAGGTATGGAGTGAGAGCCGAGTGGAAGATTTTGCAGTTCATGACAGGTTGCTTTGGTGCCAGAAGTACAGCTGTCAGCAATCAAAAAATTAGTTTTCATAGAAAACTTTGGTTCAGGGAGAAATGGTTTATAATTTGAGCAAAAATGTTCAATTTAAAACTTGGTAGCTGGAGCATAAGAAATTTATTCTAAAGTTATGATTATTTATATTTTTTTAAAAATCCTTCACTGGGATTGTAAGCCAGGTTGCCATCTGTTGCCAACAATGTTATTTCAAGCTTTGTACTCATAGAATCATAGAACTGTAGAATTGGAAGGGACCCTGGGGATCATCTAGTCCAACCCGCTGCAATGCAGGAATACAGTGGTACCTCGGGTTAAGAACTTAATTCGTTCTGGAGGTCTGTTCTTAACCTGAAACTGTTCTTAACCTGAAGCACCACTTTAGCTAATGGGGCCTCCTGCTGCCACTGCGCCGCCGGAGCACGATTTCTGTTCTCATCCTGAAGCAAAGTTCTTAACCCAAGATACTATTTCTGGATTAGCAGAGTCTGTAACCTGAAGCGTATGTAACCTGAGGTACCACTGTATGCAGCTGCCCCAAACGGAGATCTAACCTGCAACCTTTATGTTGTCAGCACCAATGCTCTAATCAACTGTGAGCTATAGACAGTAAGTTCATTCTCTTGTGGCCTTAACTGTATAGTCATTTCCATTGATTGGCTGTATACTACTTATTTATCTTACTAGTAATGCTAAATGAGAGGATTGTGTAGTGAAACTGGCTTTTTCCCAAACTGATGGGTTATTTATTTATTTATTTATTTATTTGCTTCCTTGCTAATCATAAGAAATAATCTTTGGTGCACCCCTAACAATATAACGTGATAATTGTCCCCAAAAAACATGTGTTTTCAAGTGCCACTCCCTGTTTTGCTGCTGCTACTTTTAAAAATGTTTTGCACTATACTGCCCTGGAATCTTGGGATGAAGGGCGGTATACAAATTTAATAAATAATCAGATAGCTAAAACTGCAAATCTGGGAGAGGTTCAGAAAAGGACAACCAAAATGATCGTGCAACTCCTTTGTGGGTATTTGGGGCTTTTCAGAGAAAAGTCATGTAAGATGGGACCTGACAGAGGTGTTAAATTCTACAAAACATTGAAGCTCAATGTTAGAAGACTCGGGAGGACAGATGAAAAGAAGTACTTAATCATAGAATCATATAATTCTAGAGTTGAAAGTCATCTAGTCCAACCCCCTGCAATGCAGGAATCTCAGCTAAAACATCCATGACAGATGGCCATCCAACCTCTGCTTAAAAACCTCCAAGGAAGGAGAGTCCACCACCTCCCAAGGGAGACCGTCCCACTGCCGAACAGCTCATGGTGTCAGAAAGGTCTTCTTCCAGTTGTGTAGTCTGAATCTCCTTTCTTGTAACTTGATTCCATTGGTTTGGTCCTACTCCGGATCAGGAGAAGACAAGCTTGCTCCATCTTCTTCACAGCATAGCTAGTTCACGGCCTGTTGAAGGATGATGCCCATCAACAGACTAACTAATGATGGAATTCACTGCCGTGGAAATGGTGACATATGCCAACTCAGATGGCTCTAAATGGGATTAGACCAATTCACAGAGAAGCAGCTTATCAGTGGCCTACTGTATATGATGGCTATGTTCTGTCTCCATTGTCGGAGGCGCCACTTCCTGGAAGTCACAAGCAAGGAGAATGCTGCTGCCCTCAGGTCCTGCTTGGTCACTATGTGACCAGAATGCTGGACCAGATGGGCCTTGGGTCTGAGTCAGCAGGGCTCCCCTCACCTTCTCACGAAAGCACAGCATGCAGAAGCTCACAGCTTCTAAATGAGCTATTCCTCTGTGTTAGCTTTTCCGATAATGAATAGCATTTAGCACCATTTTGACTTAATTACCCAAGCACTTGCAAACATTTATTAACTTAAGCTTTTTATTATTAATTGTGATGCACAATAACAAAAGGACTTATTACAGTAGAAAGGAAACAAACCATTAATGACCCACAATATATAAAGATGTAATTCCAAAATGATTACTGTTTGCTTGCATCCTTTGGGAAGTGTCAGAAGAGATTGGTATATATACTGTAGACTATTTGCTGAAGGTTGTCAGGTGGGAGAGTTTTAACCCTTTCCTAGTCCTCCTGTCTGGCTTCTCTGTTCCTCCTCCCCATTCCCCGATTCACAGGTCATCGAGTGGCAGGGTGACTCTTGGGCCTCAGTGCTTTGCTTCCAAAAGCCAAACACTCTGTGCCCAAAGAGGAGCATGAACTGCACCACCAGCACTACCCCCCAGAAAATGAAAGCTGCATTTGCCTTGGGAAGTGGGGAAAGAAGCAAAGTTCCTCATTTCCCCCTTTCTTTTTCTCCTTCCCGTAACAGAGCTTCCAGTTTGCAGGTGAAGCGTAGCTATCTTCAGGAAGGGGAGGGGGACGGTAGGACAGACAATATTCTTCCCACATACCATCCTTTGCAGGGCCCAATCTACTCAGTGTCTGGCAGTGGGCAGATTTGTTCCACCTAAAACCTTATAATAATCCACATCACAAATTTAAAGCACATTCCACATACTTGACCTCTCCCAAAGAATACTGGGAACTGTAGTTTGTTAAAGGTACTGGGGATTATAGCTGTGAGAAAGAAACTCCAGCTCCCAGTATTCTTTGGGGAAGCCATGTGCTTTAACTGTGTGTTGGCTGCACATTATGGTATGGCTCTGCCCCTTATCCTTAACGCAACATTGTCCTTTCCCCCATAGAAACAAATAACAGCAGCCAATTATATGGGCAAAAATGCCCCTGGTGATCCCAGTGTTCTGGCCTCCTTTCCACTTCAGTGGCAGCTTTCTTTCTTGGTTTTTGCTCCCCAGAACTTCAGTGGGAGCCACTGAGAAGAGAGTCAACCCCAAAACTTCTTGACTCCATCATAGACATGATTTCTTTCTCAGGCTTCTTCCATCTGATAGGATGCTGGGAGAGTGAGGTGGAACATTGAGAGCTGGCTTTGAGAGAAATGAAGACACCAAGCAATTCTCTAAATCACACAAGCAAAATACCCACTGTATGTTGGCAGTACCTTTGTTTTCGATTACAATCCTATTATAAAGACGGGCATTATTCAGAGAGCTGTTTACCAATCCGATTATTTTCCTCTTCTGAAGTGAACCATGGATTACCTCATATTTAACACTGCAAAAGTAAACAAGGGCTGTAAACAGAAAGACAAAATGACAAGAGATACCTGATGCTTGAGAGCCAACCTAGGCATTACATGGTGGGGAGAGAGAGTTGTAGGGAGGGGTTCGTGTTAAAATAAAAATAACTGTGGGAAGCAGGATTGGGAGTGGAGGAAAGGAAGCAAAGGAGAGTTGCTTAAAGAGGGGACACCTCTATTTTCAGAGAGAGGACAGAGGCACAAAGCTTTTATACAATGGCCTTGCAGTTGCAACTGGGGTGGTTGTAACTGTGAGAAGGTGTTTATGTAGACTCGGTGCTTAGCAGGCTGAGGTCAGTTGTGCACGTGATGTGATCGTTTCAGTGTCATGATACCTCTGAATTATGGCACCCAGGTATGGCACTCAGTATCAGAGACATGTACTGTGTGAGCAGAGAGACAGAGGATGTGGGCATAGGTGCATGATGTTCTGTGGGTCTTGACAGCTTCCCCGGGTGATGGCATTCACCTGGGTCCCAGGTCATGACACCCAGGTATCAGGAAGAGGCTCTTGAGGGAAGGTTGAAGCTGACATAACAGCTTGCCTGAGATTATGTAGTTGCTGACAAGGTGAGCTTGGCTTGGGAATTTCTGGGCTCCAGGAAAAGCCTACAAAAGCCCTAGATGTGGGCTTTCTAATAATCCAGTAAGAGGATTTAAGGACAAAACTGGAAATTGGCAAGAAGAGCAGCTAAAACTGCTGAGGAACATCAAATCTCCTGCATGAGCCACATGGATCTTGGAATCACAACTGTACATGTACACACAAATTGTGGAAGTAGGCTTATGTGAATTCATATCTAGAAAATATATATATTCTAAGGATCTAAATTGCACTGCAGAATATAATGCAATATAGACTCAGCATGCTTGACATTATTTTATAAAAGCACTGATAATGGAGATTTAATGTACTTATTCTCCATGCTTTAGAGTCATAATAAAATAATTTAATGCACACTGAGAAAACAGTTTCCAGAGTGACTTACAAATATCAACAGCAAGACACTCCCTTTAATCAGATTTAGCATGTAAAGCAACTCCCAATCCCCTCTATTTGTCCCTCGTACCTGGTATTCAGAATATATGTTGCCTATTGGTTTATCTATATTTTATTTAAGATTCAGTTTGTATCCCATCATTCATCACTTTCTTGATGCCAGGACCTATGGATAGGGGGGATCTATTCAGCATTCTTGGATAAGACTTCACCAGCAAAAAGGGATATCCAAAGAATATTGCAGTTTACATGAATATAGGCCCACAGCTAAGTGACAGGGGAGCAAGCAGGAGGCCTCAGGTTCATTCCACAACATCTACTTAGTTTAGTGTTTGTTTTTTAGTGGGTTTGGGAAGTCCTTTGCTCGGAAGGTGAGAGGACCATGGCTCACCAGAGGAGACAATGCTGGGCTGGATAGATCAATAAGCTGACAATATAAAGGAACTTATGTTGTGAGCAGCACATCCTCCCAACAAACTTATTTAATTGGAGTCATAAGTCTCTTTGGCATCATCTTGATGAGGAAGAATAAAAAGTTGGGGACGCAGGTTAAGGCCACAGCTGAGCCCAAAATGTTTCCAATTCCAACTGTCGAGCAAAGCCAGAAAAGAGATGGGCTTTAGGTTAAATAGATCCTTTTAAAGAAACTGATTGTTTACCACAGACTTGTATTCAGAAAAAAATATATTTGTGCTTTTCTGAGCCTCTGTCCCCTGCTGCTCTGAGGCAGGTGTTCAGATAGGAAATAATACAGGTTAGCGTTAAGAATACGGAGAGCTCCATTTCACACACTTCCACCTCAGCGGGTGAGACGCATCACTATAATTATTGTTCAAACCACACAGAAATCCCTCTAAATAGCTTCTGAAAGCTTTTCGGTCATGAAAGTCTTCCTCCCACTCCTCTAACACATCACATAAGGAGAAAGAGGATAGATATGAAATATACTATCTATGGAGAACACTGTCCTTCCTCACAAAGCAGTTTCACTTTTCTAGTCCATGCCTTTGTCTGCCAGATCAGTTGATTCTACTACCTCGTCACATGTGGGAACCTCATTTTGTTTAATCCTGCACATACCTTGAAACAAGCCATTACGGACACAGTGGGGCTTAATTCTGAGCAAATATGCATATGACTAGGTTTGCTGGCCAATTTTCTATTGAAAACATACCCCAAAGCAAAACACAATGCTAAAATGTCTCACATATTATTTTTTTGAACACTACAATAAGCTCAGTATCATCTCTCCACAAAATACAGATATATCCTCCAACATGAATCACACATACAAAAGCAGGAAAACAGGGACCTGGGCAGGAGTGGAAGAGGCCAGGGCTCCTGTACCTTTAATGCTTGTGAAAAAGAGATTTTCAGCACATACAGCTTGAGGGGGGGCATTGCGGGGGGGGGATTCCTTCTGAGGATTGTACTTGTTGGTGCAAACATACAGAAAGGAGAATTTCTGGGTGCCAAGATCCAAGTTTAGATCAAGTACTCTTGGGTGAGAGAACCCCCACAGAGATTTAAAGTCACAAAATATGCAGGAAAGTGTGGAAATACAGGCTGTCAGACCTTTAAAATATGTCCTTCCAGGTGAGTTCCAAAGTTTCTCATTTTTGCTAGCATGGGAAAAGACCACACATCTGGTAAGCATACTTACAGACTCTTCACAGGTCTGGTGCATGTGCACACGCCTCAGATAGAAATGTTGCACAGGCAGTAAAACTTAGCTTAGTTACAAAGTGGTGAAAGTTCCTAGATTATTGGTTCAGCGGGAGGAAAAGAGTGAGAGCCTGCGCGGGAATTTGTGTGGGCAGAGTGTGGGTTCATGAGAAGGAGAAATTTATCACAGGATGCAGGCAGAGGGTAGGGTTGGGCTGAGAGAGAGAGTTTTGGGGTGACCAGGGGGTGGGTCGCGGAGCGCAAGAGAGGGGAGTTGCATTGCAATGGTCTGCTACGGTGGACTCTCGGGTTTTGTGGGGGGTGTCAGAGAGCGAGACAGGGGTTTTGCAGGGGCCTGGTCTGGTGTGGGAGAAGGAGTTTTGTATGGACAGAGGTGAATTGAATGGGCAGACAGGGTTCTGGTTCCCTTCTGTCTGGTGGAGAGCTTTGAAGTCATTTCTGCACCAGGTAAAGTGATTTTTAGCCCCCAAATTCCCCACCAACCTGTCCTGTATTTTGCCTAACCTGTCCTGTATTTTGCCCAACCAAAGGTGGCAACCCTAGTCCAGTTACATTGGATGAGTTTCAGTTAGTAAGGCCCAAGGACATGGACAAGGTACCATATTTCTCGCTCTATAAGACGCACCAGACCACAAGACGCACCTAGTTTTTGGAGGAGGAAAACAAGAAAAAAAATATTCTGACTCTCAGAAGCCAGAACAGCAAGAGGGATCGCTGTGCAGTGAAAGCAGCAATCCCTCTTGCTGTTCTGGCTTCTATGATAGCTATGCAACCTGCATTCACTCCATAAGACGCACACACATTTCCCCTTACTTTTTAGGAGGGGAAAAAGTGAGTCTTACAGAGCAAAATTACAGTATTTGGTTTGGTCTGGGTGACCAAAGTATGCTTGATCGCATAGTTGATCTGGTTGTACTTAATATGCGATGAGTGCAACATAGGCAAATCCAGTCCCATTTACAGTGGTGCCTCGCAAGACGAAATTAATTCGTTCCGTGAGTTTTTTTGTCTAGCGAATTTTTCGTCTTGCGAAGCACGGTGTCAGAAGTTTTGGAAAAGCTTCAAAAATCGCCAAAAAACTCAAAAAAGGCTACCACACCACGTTCTATGAGTTGCTCCTCGAAGTCAAGTCGCAACTGTATTAACGGTGTTAAGAAAAAGGAAACAAACCTGCAAAAACGCAAGACGTTTCGTCTTGCAAAGCAAGCCCATAGGGAAATTCGTCTTGCGAAGCAGCTCAAAAACCGCAAAACCCTTTCGTCTAGCGAGTTTTTCGTCTTGCGAGGCATTCGTCTTGCGGGGCACCACTGTACTGTAAGATTAGGCATTTATGGATAAGTGCATGTCAAAGAAGCTATCCACCTTCTCTGGGACTCACTGTTTTCTGTGTAGCTTGACTTTGGAGTCTCTCTCTCTCCCCCTGTCCCTCATACTCACACACCAGCAAAGAAGGCAGAGACAAAACCAACACCCCACTCTCAGCTGTGCAACTGAGCATCCAAGCAGAGTCTCTCAATGCTCAGGGCTCCGATTCTTTCGGGAGGGATCTTTTCTTAGCTGCTAAGCAACCGCCCACCATGGCTGGCCATGTGGACAGCTGATTGCAAAAGCAGATTCCCACTGCTCCAATTTTAGCTTGGTTTTTCCTGAAAACTATGGAGGGTGGAGAAGTGTGGCTTAAGAACAGGTAACACACAAAGGATTGTTTCTGAGAAAATGGAGAGGCTGAGCCAAGGGGAAAAAGAAAATATAACCCTATATCAGAGAGCAACAATATGAGGCAAAGAACTTTTTGTTTAGCTGGTCATCTCATCCGGCCTCCTAGTGAAGACTGAATGCTCCCCCCCCCCCTTAGTCCTAAAAGGACATTTTAAAATGTGAAATGCAAATACAACAAACATATATATTGGATGGGTGCATTGAACAGGAATGCAGGATTTACTGACTTAATGGCATGCTCTGCTTAAAGCATGAGACAGCCTCATTCTCGAGGTCAAGATATGAGAGCTTCCTCATGTTTTACTCCTATTTTCCTACAACTGATAAACTGATCCTGAAGTATTTATGCACCTGCTATGCTCCTCATGACCTTCCAAAGAAAGGGAAAGAAGGCACTGAGAAATTACAGGCTGGTCCATCTGATCTTGTTGACATCCATCTGTTTCAAGAGACAATGGAGTGTGCCTCCAGGGGTGAAGTGAAATCTCTGTGTTACAGCACTGAAGTGCCCTCCCAGGGCCACAAGCCTGGCATTGTGTCTGGAGGTCCTGGACTGCCCTCTTACGGTCTGGCTGAACTGGACCAAAGGAAAGGAGGGCAATATGTTTGGCACCAACTTGGCTGCAGGAGTTGCTGGAGGGAGGCGTACAAGGTGCCATCCAACCATTTTAGGGACTGTACTCTGGATTTGTGTAAGGTTTACTGCTTAACTCTCCTTCTCCCAAATATATCCCGCAAGGCAGCGGATGTTTAGGACCAGAGTTTTCCTTCTCCTGTCTTCCTAGGTTGATGAGCCCCACCTGCCCCTCACTTCCCTCTACAGCATGTGCAGAAACTGCCTCCTTGACCACTGGCCCTGCCCACTCAATCTGACAGAGCCTGTCTCTGCATGCAGGGGAAGTCTCTAACTCACCACAGGTTTGAGACCCATCAGATACCCTCACCTGGTTTATCTGGTCAGTCGAAGCTATTTCCTAAGGTGCTGACACCTTCTAGGAGCCACAGGTGAGAGCTGATTGACGGGTGGGGACCAAAGGCAGACAAACTACCCCAAAAGGAGCACAACGTGTCTCCCACCAGATGTACTGCCCACCCTCTGTACCCTATACACCCCACAGTCTGATCTATACTAGAGAAGATTATAAAGCACCTATTTGTAAGCATATTGATAACAATGTCATGATTACTAGGAGCCATTATGGACTTGTCAAGAGTAAATCTTGCCAGACTAATATTATTTCTCTTTTTGGTTGGGACACTAGGTTAGTGGATGTAGTTTTTCTTGATTTCAGCAAAGCAGTTGACAAAGTCTCATACATGCATTAGCAAACTAGTCATGCGAGGGCTACACAGGATCTTAAATTGCAGGGGGGGGGTTTCAGTAGAACGTTAGCAGATATTTCTCAAAGGTGGTAAGAGTAGTTGAAGGGTTGAGTAGAGTAGTCATGGGCCTCTTCTACTGGAGGTCTTTGAGCAGAAGTTGCTCTATCTGCTCCATCTCACATTTTCTGTGGTGAGCAGGGGACTGTAAGAGTGACCTGCAAGACCCCTCCATCTCCATGAGTCTTTTCTTCAGCTCAGTTAGAATTATTAAGTTGAAGTTTCTCTAAGCAAGCAGGATTGATCACATTTACTGTAAAGATGCTGCATCTGTGACCCAGTTCGGATCCATGGGGGACATTTCCCTATCTGCCAAAAGAGGCCTTGCCATTTGGATTGCTGTTCAAAATGTATTAGAGAAGGATTTAATTAACCTGAATACTCCCTACTTGTTCTACCAGCTGCTCCATCAGTTATGTGGTCCTTTTCTGGGTTTTCATGCCATTTCCAGATGCTGTTTTGCTTCAGCTTGCTGTGAGCCGGATTATTGCTTGATTCATGAGCCTAAGAGAGTGAAGAGACACCAGAACCAGAATTTTTAAAAAATAGTTTTGTAAGCTATGTGTCTTTGCTTTTCTGTTTATATGCATAAAATACCATTTGCATAAAATACCATTTGGTATTTTATGTGACTTGTTATTTTTATTTTTATTTATAGTTTAGAAATTATTTATTGTAATTGTTGAGAATTTCTGTTTAATTATTTTTTGCTGATATTAAATTTTATTGTGTATTATTATATTCTAATGGACTATTGAATATTGCTTTATTTGATGTAAGTTGTTTATTTTAAAGTTATGTTTTTATTATCACATTTTCGTCTTAGTTCAGACTGTTGTAAAGTGTGCAATCTTTGTTGTGTCTTCATCTTGTAAACCACCCTGTGTATAGTAATATAGAAAAGTGGTATGCAAATTAAAAGTGAAATGAAAAAGAAATGAGATGCTGGGAATCCTTGAATTTCCTTATCACTACAATGGCACAAATGTTTCATTTGTGCAGTCACACAGTGAAATATAGAGGGAATACACAAAACCTTTAGGAATGATTCATTCTGCCGGCCTCTGGCAGATGCATACTCAAATTCTGGTTGTCCATTAGTGCAGCTATTAATTTTCAGGGACTGGCTGGAGGCAGAGGAGTGGTGGGAGGCACTAGCTGGGGAAGCCCAAGGGACACCCCAGAGGAGGAAGGCTCAGAGCCAGGAGATTGGTGGTGGGACACCAAGGAAAGGTCAGAGGAGAAGAGTGGGGCGAGAAGTTGTTGGATGCTGAAGAGGCAATGGGATTTAGTGAGCAAGGAGAGCCTGTGGCAGGGAGGAGTTCAGACTCATAGGCTGAAGCAGATGGAGGGTGAGGAGAGGCTGCAGAACAATCCCAGGAGATCTATCTCCTTCTGCAACAAGCTCCCTTTGCCCCTTGTCTCCAAGGACACGCAGGATGGTGCGTAAAGCCAAACAGAGAGTACAGGTGCCCAGGCTGCTTTGGAAACATCCATTAGGGGAAGCGCCTTAGCGCTGGCAGAAGGAGGGCACCACCAGTTCTGGTAACTGCTCTATAGTGGCAAGACTTGCTGGAAAGTGATGTTGAGTTGTATGCCATTAGTTCTTTGAGAGTTAACTTCTCTGACAAACTCTGCTTTTTTCTTGTGCACCTGCGTCTGACTCCAGCCCTGACACACATATGTACTTCATTCACAAATGCACTTTTGGAAGACTGCTCAGTAGATCTGCTAAAAACAATGTAGATTGTTGTAGACCTGCTCTCCATTTTTATTAGGACCACTATACACTAACAGAACCCCAAATTTAACACAGGGTTCTGCTTTAAGTGTAATCTACCTGCCACAGTATTTTTCGGTAGACTGCACTCCTTATGAAAAGACGTTCAGGCATATGACAGTGAGCCTGTTATTGCAGTTCTGCTCCAACAGCAAAGTCACAAGAAGTCTCCAGGGCAAAAGAAGGGGAAATAGGTGCTTATATGTTTTTCTATAAAATGTCAGAAAGCTGCAACAGAAGCTGTTCATTCCTCATTTAAAAAGCGTGCAAAGAAGTGAAGGAATGGCATAAGCAGAGTCACCTTTCCTCACACCGATGCCTTGAAGAGGTGCGCAACTGAGAGGAAAGATGTGGTCTCTGCCCCCCATAAAAAACCCAAACAGTTTATTATTCTTTGTGCAAGAAAAAGCAAGAGTGAAATGCCCTAAATATTCTCTATCATTCACAAGTTCCGATCCAGCAATGTCTTAGTCCTCAATCCTATGCATCCTATTTACTCACTTCAGTGTGACTTACTCCCAAGTAAATGTGCCTAGGACTGCAGCTTTACTAACTTAATGGAGTTCTAAACACAAAATCTGCTTGCAGAAAAATTATCAGGGAGGGATGTGGGTAAGTGGATTGTTTTCAAAGCCACAAAATTTGTCTAATCTTTTCCTCCAAGCCATTGAATCTAGTGGCCATTGCCACAACTTCTGTCAGGGTGACTCATAACTTAGTGATGCAAGCAGGAAGTTTCTTC